AGACAGAGATGCAAACTAGTATTTTACAGACAAGGAGATGGTGGGTCCATGGTGAAACAGGAGAGCAGGCCTATGACCACTCAAGGGATGTTGTCTTCCTATGGTACACACACCTCTGCTGCTTCGTCCTCTGAGGGTTATGGTATTTTAGAGTTAGAAGGAATTTTAGACATTCTTTAGTCCAGCACCCTCACTAAGAGATGAGAGAATTCTCAGAGCAGAGGAATATGAGTTGGCTAACATCACAGAGAAATTAAGTGGTAGTACTGGGATTCAATCAAAGGGCTTCCAACTCTCAATCCAGTGTCCTTTATATTACGCCAGGCTATCTCCTGTGGTATAAATGGGCTGCTGTTTTCTATTTGCACTGGGGACACATTAGGGCAGCTACATGGTGCAGTGGATAGAGCACTGGACCTGGAGTCAGGAAGACTCATATTCATGAGTTAAAATGGGGCCTCAGACACTTCCTAGCTGTGGGACCCTGGGCAAGTCACTTAACCCTGTTTGCCTCAGTTTCCTCATCTGTAAAATGAACTGGAGAAGGAAATGGCAAACCACTCCAGCATCTTTGCCAAGAAAACCCCAAATGAGGTCATGATGTGTCATTTAAAAAGGTTTGAGAAACATAGTTTCTGGGTAATTTAATCATTTTGTTAATAAGGCCAGCAGGTAAAAGGATGGTCATTTGGTCATCTCTCTGAGACCAAAGACAACCATGGTGGCAGGCCGACAGTTTATATACCCTTGGAAGTAATGAGGTGCCGCTAGTGACATCATGTCACCTTCGGACAGAGAAATTCTCTCTACTCAGACCACCATAGCCTTGGGCTATTTAGACAAAAGGATCTGTCTTCATCCAAGCTTGAGTAGAACACAATGGGCTTCTCTGCCTTAGATTAAATTCCTAGTAAGGTTAGGTGGATTCTGACCAAGATCCAGAGATTAAATGCAATCTAATTATCAATAATGTCTTCAAAAAAATTGAACTTAAAGTCAGGACTTTGGAAGGGAGGGGGGCTCTGAATGTCTCCAAGATATTGGTTATTAATAATTATTTCTCTCAATGAAGAGATGGATATGACTGAAAATGATTAGACAACAACTGGAGACACCTTAGAGAAAATGTAGGTTTGGCATTAGCAATAACTTCCTCACTGGAATATATGACAAGGGAAATGACTGAGTCTTTTTTCCCTAGAGATTTCTGAAGAATGGACCACAAAGACGACTTCCTGAGAAGGCCTGGGAGCAAGTGTGTGGACAAGGTGGTAACTCCAGGTCTTTCTGGAGTTTTTTAGCTTGTGAGTTGTTAAGGAATGCTAAAGGGTCCCCTCAACTTGTCTTTTTTTGAGTTGCCATATTTTCCAGAAACACTGGACCCAGGGTATGCAGAAGGCCCTGAATGTGTCAAGGATGAAGCCCCTCCCCTTCCTCTGGAGCTGACATAAATTGTTGCTTGCATCCCAGGCTAGACTGTCTGTCTGTCCTTGGCTGTCAAGATAGGTGCCAGTCAGTCTGCACTAGGCTGAGAAGCCACTTGTGCCGCTGGGACCCTTGTAGATGTGCAGACCATCCTATCCTCATGGTCTAGCAGTGACCAAGGGAAAAGAATGCCACTTTTGCCATGGCCTTGTTCCTCCCCTCCAGGAGGAGTTTTGTCCTTTTCCCACCTTTTCTGCACCTTTCCCCCTTCCATGCCAAGCCCCTTTAGGTGGAGATTTCTGGTACCTCCTCCTTCCTTTGTCCGGCTGTTATAAAAACGCAGACTTCTGTATGGATTGTGAACGCTTTGACTCCCACACACATGTTCATTTCTCTCACAATAAGCCTAGTTTTCATGTAAGTTTCGTGAAGCTGATTGCCTGTTGACAGAGTGTAACTAATAAAAGATTCCTTTGAAATGATTCTCTGCAGGAAGAGAAAATGATGATAGGCACTGTATGCTTTAGAAACCATCTAATTCAAGGGTTCTTAACCTGGGGTGTGAGAACTTAAACATTTCTTTCAAAAATACATTTTGGGAGCTATTTTAAAATTGATTTCCTTTGTAATCCTATGCAGTTCATTTTATGCATTTAAATCTGAGAGTCCATGACACCAAAAATGGGAAGAACCTATGATTTAGTCTAACTTCTTAATTTTACAGATGAGGAAACTGAGGCCCAGAAGACTTAAGTGATTTGCCCAGTGATATCTAGGAAGAGTCAAAGCTGGGTTTTTGACACAGGCCCCTTTATTTTTTCCCCTACTGTATCATGCTACTTCATACAGAATTCATACTAAATTAATTCACAGTTACTTTCTCTTTTATGTTTTTTTTTGGGGGGGGGTGAGGCAATTGGGGTTAAGTGACTTGCCAGGGTCACATAGCTAGTGAGTATCATGTGTCTGAGGCAGGTTTTGAACTCCGGTCCTTCTGACTCCAGAGCTGTCGCTCTATCCACTGCACCACCTAGCTGCCCCTCACAGTCATTTTCTCATTAGTGTTGTTGTTGGTCAGTCATTTTTCAGTCATGTCCAACACTTTGTGACCCCATTTGGAATTTTCTTGGCAAAGATACTGGAGTAGTTTGCCACGTCCTTCTCCAGCGGATTAAGGCAAACAGGGGTAAGTGACTTGCCCAGGGTAACATGGCTAGGAAGTGTCTAAGGCCAGATTTGAACTGTAGGCCCAGCACTCTCTCCATTGTGCCACCTAGCTTCCCCCTATTTTCTTGCTGTGTCCTTTTTCCTATATTAGTCAGGGAGCCCCTTACTGACAGGACCCTTTATCTCTTTCCAACATTCTATGGAAGGCTCTGCCCACTAGGGGAACTTATAATCACAAAATTTCAGCTGGAAAGGATCTCTGGGGACATCTAGTACAACCTCTGGCTGAACGAGAACTCTTACTAAAACACACCCAAGAAGCAGTCATTCAGCTTCCACCTAAAGAACTCCAGCAATGGGGATCTCACTACCTTCCAAGACAGCACAAGACACTTTTGAACATCTCTAATATTGACGTTTTTCCTGACATGGAGCCTGAACCTTCTATGCAACCTGTATCCTACTGGGTCTAGTTTTGCCTCTGGTGCCAAACAAAGCAAGTCTCATTCCTCTTTCTATGATGTCCTTTCTATGATGTCCTTTGAAGACTGCTGTTATTTGCCCTCATAGACTTCTCTTCTCCAAACTAAACATCTCTGGTTCCTTGGACTAATCCTCTTGTAACATGGACATACAGGTTAAATTTACCTATTAGCCTGGATTGATTTGTACAATAAGCAAACCTTACTGGCTCTGACCTGGTTTTAGTGCTGGATGTGGGGAATAGACCTCTTGAGACCTTGGCCTCTTGGAGTCTGGGGTTACATGTGTGATTCATTCATGGACTTGAACATCTGACATATGCTTTCTGGGCTAGGCACATGGTCTCTAGATCAAGTGTTCTTAGCTTGGGGTCCATAAATTTTTAAAAAATATACATTTTGGTAACTTTTGATATAATTAATTTCCTTTGAAACCCTATAAATACTATTTTTATGTATTTAAATGTTATTCTAAAAAGGGGTCTATAGGCTTCCTCAGACTTGCCAGAGGGTCCGTGGCACAAAGTTAAACCCTAGTATAGACGATTACAAGTTCTGCTTGGATATTGCTTTCACCTCTAATATTTATTTATTTTTCTTTCTTTCTTTCTTTCTTTCTTTCTTTCTTTCTTTCTTTCTTT